GTCTCTTTCTCTCTCTCTCTCTCTCTCTCTCTCTCTCTCTCTCTCTCTCTCTCTCTCGTGTGTATGTGTGTGCACATGTGCGTGTGTGTTGCTGGGGATCAAACCCAGGGCCTTGGGCATGCTAGGCAAGTGATTTACCAGTCAGGTACATTTGACAATAACTTTTCTTAGGTAGAATTTGGCTAATTAGTGATTGTGCCAGCAATTTCTATGGTCACAAATGAATCAGAATTCAGTGGACTGAAAATTTACCTGTTATGATAGATAATTGTCTTTTGTAGCAGCACTGAATACCCTTTTTTTTTTTTTAACAGCATTTAACACAGAGTGATTATTATTTTTTTACCCAACTGTCTTGGATAGCCAGGTTGTCTATCAGGCTGTAACTTTTATAGCTACAGAAATCAAGCCTTTCTTCTTCCTTTATTCCCAAAGCACCTGGTCCAATATTACCAGATCAATGCATGAAATTCAGAAACAAGGAAGAAGTTGTGGTCCTCTCCCAAGTGGCCTGTACAATTACAAGTAGACCCTGAGATCCGTGGGAAAGGACTCGGCTGACTTTCTGATTTGGTGGCCGTCCTCACTATGGTTGTTTAGGGATCATAGCATCAGACATATACTGCCAGCTTACTGCCAAGCACCATTCTAATTTACTCATTTCATCCTCACAACCCTATGAGGTTCCACCCTTATGAGCCCTAAGTTACAGACCACACAAATTATAAAATTGAGGCCCAAAGTTGGTGCCATGAAATAGGTCTGCAATCCCAGCTACTCAGGAGGCTGCCACAGCTTGAGTCCAGGAGTTCGAGGCCAGGCCCAGAACCATAGCATTGTCTGTTTCCCACCCCCTCAAAAAAAAAAAAAAGCACAAAGAAGTTAAATAATTTTGCCTCGGGCTCAAAAACTTAAGCAACGTGGAGCCAGATCGTATGATTCTAACTCACGGGCTGTGTGCAGTAAACCAAGGACAAAGGCAGGCAACTTAGCCCCCCTTCCTTTTATTCCAAACTTTAAGACAATTAGTATCTTTTAAAAAAACACTTAAATATAATAAGCACAGGATTGGCAGAGTGGCTCAAGGGGTAGAGTGCCAGGCTCTGAGTTCAAACCCCAGTGCCACCATGATCAAGCTGAAATTTCACCAAGCTAGACCTACATTTTTACCATCTCTGTGTTTTCCCTCACCTTCCTATTCCTAACTCTTCTCCTTGTGTCTTCACCCCTGGGTTTCAAGGGCCAACTCTCTTAAAAACTTTCCTGGTTTCTTCTCAAATCAGAATTCCTCTCTGTCCTGGGTGTCCTTTGTTTAAACCTCAGTTCTGACACTTAGCACATTGAGCGTGGGATGAGTCACTTGTGTGTCTGGCTGTCTTCGTGGTTAAACAGAGAGCTCTGTGAGGCCAGGGGCCGTGTGGCCATCTGTGTTAGGGTCTTAGCGCCTGCCGGGGAGCACTGGGTGCTTAGTAGGTGCTCAGGGCTTGGAAGACGAGTCTTTTTCTCGGGGCGTGCAGCGTCGCTGTCTGGTGGCAAGGTCTTTTTTTAGGACGACGCTGTGGGCTGACATGGCCGGGCCCCCGCCCCTGCCTGCCCACTCCTGCCCGGGCCTGGCCTAGCGCCTGGCAGGGCCCTGCGGGCCACCAGGCCCTCTGGTGCCCTGACACTGGCCTCGGCCCAGTTTCCCGGCTTCTAAATGCGGCCGGGAGCTACCGGGGGAACTGGAAAAACACTGGCAGGCAGGCGGCCCCACCCCGGGCCCCCGCGGGCCGGGCGGCCGCGGCTCTGCGGCTTGGGCCTGCTGCTTGGGAGGCGCTGGCCCCGGGCGGGGGAAGCGGGGGAGGCGGCGGGCGCGGGCGGCGGCCTGCCTGTCAGCGGGAGCGGGCGCGGGCTCGTGTGTCAGCGGCTCCCTCCTCCCGCTGCCCCGCCGCCCGCCCGCCGGGCCTCCCGGCCTCCCGCCGCCGCCGCCGCCGCCGCCGCCCGCTCCCCCCGCGGCCTGGCAGGCTGCCGGCTGCACAGGCGGGGGTTCGCGCCGTTCTCACGACCTCTCAGGTTGCCTGAGCTCATCTGGGAGCTATTCATTTCCTGCCAGAAAGCAGCCGGGCCTGCTAAGCAAGCCACCTTGGCCGCAGGGCCGCCGGGGCAGGCCCGGTGTGGCCGCCCTGGCCCGCTCCTGCCCGGCTGCGGGCCCCGCAGGCCTCCCAGGAACCTCGAGCCGCCCGGGCGGGCTCGCGGCGGGGGCAGCTCATCCGCCCATCTGGTTGCACTTAGGAGCCCGGAGGAAGCTAGCAGCGGGTTGTTACCGGCCAAGGGGTGTGGGAAAAGTTAATTGACTTTAATGACAGGTTCCCCGGGACAGTGGTGACAAGGAGGGGGTCCAGCTCAGCTCTCGGGTCCCCACTGCAGAAACACGTAGGGTGGGAAGGAGCGGGATTGGATAGAAGGAGGGGGCCAGCTTTAGTGTCTCCCTTATGCACCGCTTGAGGTCTCTAGTTTTAAGGAGACCCCCCCCCCCACCTCCGCCTTTCCATCTGCAGATGCGGCTAGAGCTAGCCGAGGGCGGGGAGGGATGGAGAGTGGGGCCCCCAGGGTCTCCCATGAGAGGCTAAGATGCAGGGCCGCCAAGGCCCGAGGGCCACATCCGGACACAGAGCTGGAAGATGTGCCTTATCCCTCAGAGAGGTCAGCACTGCCCAGTTGGAGAAGTGCCCCGGGGCCTATAATTAGGCAGGGCCTACAGGACCTCCAGGGGGACAGGATGAGGTCCTCTTTGATGTTGCACCTCTCCCCAACCCTACTGACTCCAAAAACAGCCAGGATGCTAGAGGGGCAGTGTCTTACAAATAAGTCCTTTTTATTTGATGGACTTGGAAATGTTCCAAAGAAGGGAAATGACTTACCCAAGGGGACACAGTGAGTTTAGTGGCTTATCAGAGCCTGAAAGTCCCCCTTAGGACCTAGGCTGTCCACCTCTCTTCCCATATTGTTCAGGAACAAGTGCCTCGTTACTAAACTATTAAGTGTAAACCCAAATCTTAGGGTAAAAAAAAAGATGTGTTGTTTCAAACCACCAGTTCTTTTCAAAAGAACAAATGATGACTCATTTTCCTTCCATTTATCCCCTTCCCCAGGAAGATGCCATATCCATGTACTTTTGGTGATTTTTTTTTTTTAATGCACGTTTTCAGTATAAGGGAAGACACAGAAATTTAACTCCAGTTGATATTGAGTTGTGCTGGGGTTATTTTCCTGGTGAATTTTAAAGGACATCAACATAAAGGAATTACTTTCATAAAAGCTGAGATCAGGAGGAAGACGAGAGGGTGATGGGCAGAGAATATGATCCAAGTACATTGCATACAAGTATGAAAATGTTTGTACAATTAATATATACTAAAAACCAAGTTGAGACCCTGAGGTCCAGATTATTTCTACCAGGAGAGTTACCAACTCCTAGTGGGGGACAGAGGACAGCCTTACCAAAATGAAGCTTTTGACTTTGGCACGGGTGTCTTAATGGAGCAGTTGTTATTATGTTTGTGTTTAAACAAAAGGGAAAACGTGGGAAAATGAAGAAGGGTGTGTGTGTGTGTTTCTTTGGCAGAGGATGTGTTGGACACCTTTCATGTACACAAAATAAGACAAGTAGGAGCCAAATTCAAAAAAGTATCTTTTAAACCTCTCCCTCTGGAGCTAAAGCTGAAGGTAGCTGAAGGTATGGAAGAGAAAACCAACTGCTGTCTGCTAGCTTATTTCTATGATAGAGCTGCTCCCCACACTGGCCTGTGGGAAAGGCCAGAGCCAGGCGGGGGAGAGGTAAAGCTTTTGAAACAAGACAGAAAATCGTTGGCTTTATCTTTGTTAGGAAAGCTTCAAAGATTGATCTCTCCCGCCTCATCCTTCTCCTCCCAGAAGCCTTTCTAAGAGAAGGTTGGGGGGGAGGTGAGAGATGCGGGCGGGAGGGGTCGGGCAGGGAGAAGGACTGGCCAGCGGTGGGGGAGGAGGGACCGCCGGCCAGACCCACAGCGCGGCTGATGTGTCTGGTCTCGCAGGGCTCGTGGTTTTCATTTCCCCAACACCTGGATGCAGTCAAACACCTGGCCAAATCTGACAAAATCTGACAAGCCTTTGTGATGGGATTTGGAAGAAATTCCCTGCAGATCCTGGCACAGTTTAAAGCTGTCCGCTTTGAGTTAGGACTTGTTAAGGAGGGTTATGTGAGCTGAAACCTGAGACAACCCTTTTGCTTCTATCTGGAGCCCACATCTTGCCTGGAAATGGGGCATGACCAAGCGAAGGGGTCGCTTGCTGTTTGTATTAAAAGGGGAAGATGGCCTGTGTGCCTGCCAGCACAGCCCCCACATGCTTTCTCTATTAGAGCCAAGCACAGAAACTTATCAAAAACACATGTCTGGTGTTAATCATCTAGGCTGGGGCTCCACTTGGGAGTCTAACAAGCTGTCCCTTGGCAGAAGGAATCTGTTGACCTTTGCAGCTTGCTTGAAGAGGATGCTGAGAGGCATTTTGGAGACTTTTGGAGGCTGGGGCTAGGGGATATCTAGCTGTATCTAAGGACAGAGTAACTAATGAAGACCCCAACACTTGTAGGCAGAGGGCTTATGCCTTGAGTATGTTTGTATTTTGGATGTTGGTAGCTGCCCCAGGGAGTCGGGCTGCAGATGCCCTTCATGTGTAAGGGAACTGGAATTGTGGGCGTCAAGATTTCAGTCCTTCTCAGAAGGAACTAATGAAACAAGGACTGAATGACATTAAACAATTTTTTTAAAATCCTCTAAAGAGAATGACCACAGTTTATCAGTTTTTGTAAATTAGGCAAAACGTAAGTCTTTTTAGTTCATAGAGTGTTGACGAATGGTTTGATGGATATTTTAAAATGCTGTCTTTGTAAAAAGAGCCAATTTCTGAATTCCTAAATTATATGTAATTCGAATTCCACCAAGAGCTTTTTACATTTTCTGAAATAATCGGTTCTAAGACATAAGACTTCACTTTTTTCTTTTATTATATTTTCTCAAATAAACTTCCCTAAAGGAAGATAAAATTTTAAGAGCATTTTCAAACATCTTTGGCATCACATAAAAAAGAAATCTCGTGTAAAAAACGAAATGTCATCTCAACTTTTATAATACAAAGGCGCAATCCAATATGAACATATAAAATATATACAAATATAGTGCATGGTCAGTCACTTAATACGACTCTCTACAAAAAAGTAACTTTTTAGAAATTAAAAAAAGTAACCACTTAATCAGAAAAGTCTTGTCTCCTAGCATCCAAGTTCCTGTGTAGTGTCCGGACGAAAGAGATGGGTTGGGGAGTTAAGGGGCAGAGGTGGCCTGAACCCTTCAGTTCCGCCACGGCCTCCACATGGAGTCCGTAGTGAGAGAGGGGCCGCTAGAAGGAGACACTGCGTTGGGACCCACGGAGGTCCCGCTGTTGCTGGTGTAGACCGGGATAACTGGGCCGTTGTGCGCGAAGGCCCCGTTGGGGATAAGGAAGGCAAACTGGCCGTCTGGAGCTGGCACCACCTGGAAGCCGCCGAATACCTTGGCCGCCTCTCCAGCCTGGCTGCCCAGCTTGCAGGGAGCGCCGCCGGAAGGGGGCGCCGCGCCCCCGGGGATGGGCACCAGCGGTGGCGGCGGCGCGAACGGCGCGTGCTGGGGACCTCCGGGTCCTGGCGGGGGCGGCGGCGGCGCCTGCAAGGCGGGGTGCGGCTGCCCTGGGTAGGTCATGGCGTTGATCTGGGTCATGCAGTTGGCCAGGTGGCCGAGCAACCTAGTGCGCACCTCGGTGTTAACGCCCTCGCACGTGGACAGGAAGCGGGTCACTTCGTTCATGCACTCGCTGAAGCCGGCACGGTACTTCCCCAGCACGCTCGGGTCTGTGCTTAGCGCCGCTGCAGGCCAGAAAAGAGACGGGTCACCGAACGGCCCTGGCCCCGGGGCCACCGCCTCCCGCCTTGGGAGGTCCCAGCGGCACGCCTTCCAGACCACGCGCCTGCAGAACTACCTCCGGCTAGGAAGGTGGGGTAAGTTTGGAAAAACCAGGCACCTTTCCGCACTAGAGTGGCGAGCGAACCCGACACTCCCTTTCTCATTCCCTGTCATTCCACGTAAACCAGTCTCAGCCCCAGATCTGCCACCTCCACCCCCGAGTGCGATGTGACCTTGGGCAATGCCACTCAACCCGCCTTCCTAGCCTCATTTCCCCTTCTGCAGTGGGGGTTGAAGGTGCGTGAGTGCTAAACCAGATGACTCCTAGCCTCCACTCAGCTTAAAACCTCCACAGTCCTAAATCCTTTCGCCCCAGTCGGCTTCCTCCACAGCCAGGCTCCCGCCACCCTCACGGCTACAACCTCTCTCCCTCCCTTTCCGGAACAGTAACAACTTGGAGTTGTGGCTATAAATAAGTCCCAGACCGTGGGAACGCGAGAGTGAGCCAAGGCTGTAAAATGTAGCTGAATGCCGCTCACAACCGCGGGCGGAAGTCTGGAAGAAATCACCGCGGGGCGAGGGGGACGCCCGCAGAGGGGGACGCGCGAGCCGTCCTTACCCGTCATCTGCGCCCGCTGCAGGTTCCGGAGGTGCTTCACTGTCATTTCCAGAATGTCCGCCTTCTCCAGCTTGGAATGCCGGGAGCTCTGAGCAGAAGAGGAAGCAAGGGAGCACATGAGACCCCTGTCAGCTGCCCCGGAGTGCTGGGGGGGGTTCCCTTTCCTCGGCCCCGGGTCCCACATCAGGAACCCCAGCGAGAGGGCTGAACCCCTCTCGTAGGAGTAAGATTCCAGCACCGCAGACGAGAGGGTTTCATTCTTTGGACTGAGAAGTAGCATTTCATATTTTTAATTAATGGGGGGGAAAAAAAAAGAAGCGTTCTCCACTTACATCTTTTTTAAGAGCATCCAGAATCAGTGTCTTCAGCTGGCTCAGACTTTCATTTATTCTTGCTCTTCGTCTTTTCTCCATGATAGGCTTTGATGACTGCAAAAGAAAAAAAAAAAAAAAAGCCTGAGTTCCTATGGGATCTGCCATTTCACGCAGGGGTTTTAAGAGAGAGAGACAAGAGGTTCTCCCACCCGCCCACAACCAGACATTCTTAATTTCTTAGGGCTGCAGAAATACAGGTACTGTCCTTACCTTTCTGTGCTCAGATGCAGTCTTTGGCTTATCCGGTGTCGTGTTGACACTGGCTGGGGTAGCAGCCACCGGGGAGGAGGAATTTTTCTCCATTATGTCAGCTGGCATTTTCTTTCTTTTCTTCCCCCTCAATCCCTAGAGAATTTTATTTTTGGAGTCCCCTCACGCAAAACAAAAACAAAAAAGCCTTTTTTTTTTTTTTTTTTTGCTTACGTCCCTTTTATTTGAGACTTTCATAAAACTGAGCAAGTGCTGAGGGTTTACTGTATTTTATGGCTACTTGGTTATCCGTAGCACTATTCCAGGACCAAGGAGAGAGGTATACGGGGGATTCCGCTGTTATCAGCACCAGCTCCGGATCCTGTGTGATCCCCAAGCCCTGGCGGCCTCTATATATATCTGGGACTGCACGCGAACGGCTCGTGTGAAACTTCCCAAACTTTCTTTCCCACAGTAACTTTCAGCCAATGGGAGGAGGAGACACGCGGCACCGCTCGTGGACCGCGCCCCCCCATTGGCCGCCAGGCACAAGGTCTGGCGGCCAATGGCGCGCGCCTGAGCCCGGGGCACAGGAGGCTACAACGTCAATCAAAAGGATTTTAACCCTTTGCTACTCACTTCTCTGGGCTTTTCTTCAATGAGGATTTTTCCGCTTTGGTTTTGGTCTAGACTATTCCGTTCGAGGCCAGGGTCTTTGCTCCTTAGTCTCTTTGCTCTTTATTCTCTTTGCTACGTGCAAATAGAGCTACTTTGTAATAAGTTCATTTGAGATATATTTAGAAAAGGTATACAAAGACGAGAAAAAAGACAATTTGCTGGGGGTAAAGCGAATGGGGGAGAGGGGAAACTTGTTTGAGGGTTCATTTGTTGAAACATCTGTCATTTCGCGCTTGGATTCTATTCAGAGAGTGAAAGCAGATCCTGCAGGGAAAAATATTCAAATTCCTTTTTGTAAAAAAAGAAATTCCTTGAATTTTATATTTGTAGATTTTTTCGGAGCAAGGTGGTTTCTGAATGCCTCCCTCCCTCACCCTGTCCCTCATTCCTCTTCTGGAGTTGGAGCTTTGGAACTCAAGCTTCCCCAGGAAACAATCAGAATAATTTCCAACTGGGTAGAAAGGAAATGGAATTTCAAATGAAAAAAAAAAAATGAACAAGGGGGGCTTTGATGGCACTGCCACAGAGACACAAGCGCGCTCCTTCGCGACTCTTTCCCTTTGCACCCGCAGGCTCTGTGTTCAGCTGCACGTAGAGGCGGCGGGCAGGGAGGCAGCCTCTCCCCTCCTCGCCGCGCGGGCGGCCAAGGCGGCCTAGACACCCGGCGCGCGGACCCTTTAAGAGCTACACCAGCCGAGCTGCAGTTTGACATCAGCCGGCCGGCGAGGGCGCGCCTGGAGCCGGAGCACGTGCCAGGATGTTTTATTGCCGCCGCGGCTGCGGCCGGGCCGGGAGGATGTGTGTGTGCGTGCGTGTGTGAGTGTGTGTGCGCGCGCCCCGGGGGCAGGGAGGGGGGACGGCGGCGGGCGGCCGAGAGCGGGGGCTGGTTCCTAGTCCCCGGGAGAAGCCAAGAAGGTAAATAGCAGCTGCTGTGCTCGAGCCTGGGAAAACCCCGCCCCCTGCGCCTGGCCCGGGCTCATTGGCGCGCGCTGCGTGTGGGGTGTGTGTGTGTCCGGGGCCCCCTCCCCCGACCCCGCGGGGCCAGGAATCCGAGGGGGCGGCGGGCTGGGAGTCGAGCCCGGGCGATTACCCTGCCCCCTCCCCTGGCCAAGGTCAGCCCTTCCGGGCGGGGAGCGCACGCCCCGGGGTGGGAGTGGGGAATTAGGCCAACCCCACCAATCCCCCAATTTTAACGTGGCCAAAAGCCTCCGTTGCAACAGCCCGGAGCAGGGGTGGGGGCCTCCTTGTTCGCTCCTTGCCCTAGCCTGGCCGCCCAGCCTCCCCCCGAAGAGCCCCCGGCGCCCGCCGCGGTCACGAGATGCCTGACCGCACTTAGGAAGCGGCCGGGTCAGCCTCCTGCCTCCGCTCGGCGGCTGTGGTTAAAGCGGCTTCGCGCCGCCCGCCCCTTCCCCGGGTCCAGGGCAGCCGGGCAGCTCCCCCTCGTTGCGCCCGGGAGGCCGCCGGCGGGCGGCCGGGAAGAGGCGGGCGGCTGCGTGTTGCCGGCCGGCCGGGCCGCGCGCCGGGAGGAGCCGCCGCCGCCGCCGCCGCCTGGTGCCACGTGGCGGGCGCCGGGCCGGGAGCGCCAGGGCTCTGGCGGCGGCCTCCCTGGGGGATTTGCCGTGCAGGGCGGGCGGCGCGCATTGCCCCGGCTGGCCGCCACCGCCACTTCCCTTCTTTCTTCCCTTCTTTCCTACCCGGGTCGCCGGCCTCCTCGCTCCCACCTGGTGCAACCCCCGCCCTGCCCAGCTTTCCAGCTCCCACGCCCGGTGCCCTCCCCCGCAACCTTCCAGTCGCTTGGGAACTTTGCTCTTTCTGCTGTGGTAGTTCGGGGTAGTGCGGGATCCCAGCGTATTGTTTGATGTCAGCTTTCCCACCTCCCCCTTCCCTTCCCCTTCGCGCACCTTCCCCCCCACCCCAGCCCTTCCAGCATCCCAGAGGCCTGGCACGAATTTCTCGGACACTTCATTCCTTCCTTCCTCTGAGCTCCCCACTGAGATAATGTTGAAAATGATTTCGCCAGATCTCATCCCGGATGAGATTCAGCGGTTCCTTGACTCTGCATGACCTTGGGCAAGCCCCTGTCTTTGTTTTATGATGGAACGCAAGCTCAGTGCCAGACACTGGCTAAACCCTGGGATTATCACGATGAGAGATACAGTGGCAGCCTGCAAGGAGTCCACGTACAGTCGGCTGCGAGGCAGACAGACCCTGGTTTTCTGACTTGATGAGTGGGCACTCGTCTATTTTTCCTTTCTTTTAGGACATAGTCTGAAGCATCAGGAGTAGTTAGGTAGGTAGTTAAAAGTAGGAAGCTGCACCTGCGTGAGTGACTGTATTGCTGGTCTGTTTTGGGGACATGGGACCCAGTAAGACAGTTACTGCCCTTAGGAAGCCCACAGCCTCTGGATACATGTATACATGTACTCAAGAGTACCGCTGACATGGATTTCCCAAAAGATTCCTTTGGAAGGTCGTGGGTGTTAAGAGAGACAGTAATGTCTATAGATAGAGGGAGAATGCTATATAATTTCCGAAGAATTAAGTTACTTGTAAGTTGGAGTGTTTTGGGAAACTTCCTGGTGGAGTTGGCCTGTGCTTTGTATCTTGGAAAATAAATAGGATTCTATTTCATTAGAAGGGGGCTGGGGAGGAAGAGAGGACCCATAGCATTAAAGGCCCAGATCTTGGAAGCTTGAGGTCTTTATTTGGTGAATATGGTCTGGTGCTCAGGGTATAAGACGGGAAGAGGAAGAAGCTTAAGATCATGACACAACACCTTTAAACAGCTTACTTTAGAAAGGACAATAGAAGGCCACAAAATGTTCATAGCAGAGAAGGGACATGGGTCTCCTTTAGAAGGATGGCCCTGAGCAGGCGTGGCTTATGCCTGTAATCCTAGCTACTCAGGAGGCAGAGATCAGGAGGATTGAGGTTTGAAGCCAGCCAAATAATTCTTGAGACCTTATCTTGAAAAAACTCATCACTACAGAAAGGCTGGTGGATTGGCTCAAGGTGTATGACCTGGGTTCAAACTCCAGTACCCTAAAGAAGGATGGCCCCGGCAGAAGTGTGGAGAATGGATTGCAGGATTTGAAGCAGAGGCTGATTAGGAGACAGTTCCTAAGTGACATATAGACTGGCACTCCTCCAGAAGCATCTGCTTGGGTCCAGCTTACCTGGGCATTGACTGCACACTGTCCAAAAACCTTAGTTCAACAGAAGCCTGCATACCCTTTTTTGCAGTGTTCCCTGTTACCCCACCACCTGCAGCCTGACTAAGGAATTATTGTGGCTCTGACCATATTTACCTTTTAAGCCTCATTTCCACCTTCCAGGACAGCCCTGGAGTCTGCAGCCAAACTTTTACCTCATCGAAGTCTTGGTTTACTCACTCTTGCCCCTTGGGCTACTCTCTGGGATTTTTTTGTGTTTTCTTAACACACTGCAGAATGGGCTGTGCCCTATCATGTTCAGAAGAAATGATGAACAATGCCTCCTTTGTTGACCTGCAACCTGCCAATGGGGTAGAACTTTTCTTTCTTGTTTTAAAACAGTTGAAAGAGTGGTGATAACAGAAAACTGATGCTTTTGCAAAGTGGGGTTTTCCTGTGTGTTTGAAATCCTCTTGGTGAAAGGTGATGAGCCTGTGAAGTTACCTTCCTTTCTGCTGTGCACCCAATAAACTTCCCAAGCTTCTTAAAATACTTCTACCCAGCATCTGACTTAAAAAAAAAAAGGCACTTAAACACTGACTCAGATTATCCCAAGAAACTAAACCTTTCCCAGGGTCCCAGGGAAGCACTTTAACCCCTTCTAGGTTCCCCCCATACCCTTAAGAGCCAGGACCTCTTCTTCTAAGCTCTGTTATGACTTTGGCTGCCGGCTGCTGTTGGGCCACCCTGCAGCTAGGTCTTTTTTTCGGTGTGATTCTCATGTTACCTCAGGCTTTAGGCTCCCTGAAGGTACATGGAAGATGGAATATAGTCCATGTTAGGGAGTCCATGTTAGGCTCATGGACCAAAGAGTTAATCAGCAACTCATTTATTGACACTTTAAGTGCTTAGTCTGCCTGGTAGAATGAGCAAGTGGCTACACACACACACACACACACACACACACACTTTTGAGATAAGAGGGAAGAGGGCTTAAGCAATCAAAAATTGGCCATGAATTTCTACCTGGCCAAAAAAAAAAAAAAGAAATCCCATGATCCCTCTGTATCGCCAAGAGAATTTCTTGCAAATGTGCTCATAAGCTATTTTTCAGTCTCTTTATCCTGGTCAGTAAAAATTGGACCAAGTAGGCACTTTCTCCACCCTTCTCCAAGGAGCAGTGAGCACCTCAATTCTAGAAAGACTTCTGGACTTGGAAGGCTTCTCAGGAACAGCCTTTATTTTTCCATCGACTTAAAGCCCTATTTCCTCTCACTGTGGTATCAGCAAAACTCAGTCCTTCCCACTGCATCATGACCCCACCCAGTGAAACCCCTACCCAGGAAGGGTTTGCCTTTAAACCATAAGTAAACACTTGCATCTCTAGAGAGATTCCCCTTTGTATCGGAAAGGTTTGTGAGTTTGGTTTAAAGCCACAAGAGAGAGGAGAGAAGTAGAAAAAAGGTATTTTGCCTGAGGACTCTAGCTCTCCCCCGCCCCTCCCCTTTTCCTCCGCTTGACTGACTTTCTCACACTCAGATTCCCTGCAGCCTGCCAGGGACGTGGTAGCTGGCCTGCCAAGAGCTATCCTGGGAGGCTATTGAAAGAGCTTTGATTAAGTACACACAGGGCGGATTTTCTCCTCCCTTTGGTACCTGCTCCGCACCTGTACAGGGAGCAGTCCCACACATATCACCTGATCACAGCCCTTTCAGAGACCGTGAGAAAAATAAAGCCCCGGATGGAAGAACCATGCTTGTTGTCCTTCCAGGGCTGTGGCCAGCCCCTTGCAGCCCGAGTGCCCAGAAACAGCACATTCCAGGCTGCTTGTGCATGCATGTTTGCCTGCGCATGCTGGGTGGCGACACTGGGGCAAAAGGGAAGCTGGAGATCACCTTCCTGATGGCTGCCCACTGCTCTGTTTTCTGGCTGTCTGATGGCTTTATGATCTTTTCCTCATTACCATTGTCTTTCTAGATAAGAATCTTATGTGCTCATCCCAGAATTCATAATCATGATTTTTGGAGCCTGTAAAGTCCCTGAAAAGGAATTCTAAATTGTGCCCATGTATGCACCTTAGCACTAACTTAATAAATATTTCTCTCCTTTTTTATTCTTTCCTAATAAATACTTCTTGAATGAATGAAAAATGCATCACACCCCCTACCTCCCAAGAGAGAGTTTACAAGCTTTCAGCAGACTCACAAAGTTTTTTTTATTTTGTTTTGGTTTGGTTTTTTGTGACCAGAAATGGTTAAGGAAAGCTGATCCAGGCAATCTGTGCTTCCTACTGGGTACTCTAAGTCCCTGAGAGGAGAAGAAACTGACTCAAGGGCCCACAACAAGGTAATACTGGGTTGGGGATGGACAGAGCCAGCTCTGGGGCTCTAAGGTGCACTGGTCCTTGGTAATTTTAGGATAGTGCTCACCAACCACAGTTGCATTTAAAGTAGCAACATTAATAAAGCTATTTTGAAATTGCTACAACTTTGCCTTTCTTAATTGGGAGGTACTTGAGCAGTGCTATGCCCCAATGTTTGGATAGAGAAAAGGAAAAATTGTCTACCAGGAAAGGAGTTCTCAGCAATGCTTGCAAGTGCCTGGTTGCCATGCCAAGGCATTAGAAACAACTGCACGCTGCTGCATTCCGTCTTTGATAAAAATAAGTTGCCACTTCTAAACAAAACGCCTGGTTGATTCCTGGCCAAGCCAGGACGTGCTTAGCAGGGTGGGGGTGGAAAGCAGAAGCTTTCAACATTGGCTAATAGCAGCCTGTGATGCTCCCCTGCCCCCCAACACTCCATAGGAGCCAGTAAGACTAAGGGAATGTGCAATCTAATGGGCTCTGAAGAAGGATGGCTGCCGAGAAAGCCCTTCCCATCAGGAATGGCTGAACCCTACATTTGGCCCAGCCACAACCGTGAGATGAGAAGGCTGTAAATGTGGTTTTAGCTAACTCCTGACCTCTGAGCAGGACTTCTGTAAGGCATGCCTCCAGGCCCAAGGATGAGGAGGGCGGTCCCAGCCATCATGGGGTGCTACTTCAGGGGCCAGTGCAGAAAAGGCTCAGAGCTGTGCCAAGGGCTGGGGCTTGTAAGGGCAGGCCCAGAGGCCTCAGGAAGGCTCAGGAATGTGGGGGTGAAGCCTTGCCCCTCAAGACCCAGGGCATGCAGTTATTTGGCTTGCTAATAAGCAACTCCAATTTTGACAGACCAAATCTCTCCAAAAATAAAAACCAAGAAAACACAGCTTCCCAGAAAAATCATTTGAGTAAAACTCAGGGTTTGAAAGTGATGTGGGGTGTGTATATACAATATATTTTTAACTACAGTCCTTCTCCAAGCATTATCTCACAGAGTATAGAAAAGTGAGGGCTGGGGACAACAGGAAAAGAGACCTGAGAGGTCACCAAATTAGCCCACACACTTAGTGGGTAGGGAAACAGCCCAGGAATAAGTGTCTTACACAGGCAGGCCAGCTTTCCGAGAGAGGGAATAGCAAAGCCTGAGTTAAGCTGCTCATGATTTCCACCTGGCAGTCTAGAAGCTCGCCCCATCATACCTCTACAGGAGAAAAACATTTTGAAGCATTTTCTACAACAGGTGACTAACATTACCCCAAAGATGGATTTTATGACGGAAAACAAGCTATCTGCTGGTGAGAGATTTTGGTAGTGTTTCAGAGAACAGTTTAGTGTCAGGTTTGCTGCACTCTGATTCTCGGATTTGCTTATCATTCTGTATTCTCTAGAAAGGAAGGAATCTTGCCATCTGAGTTCCAGAGGACAAGAAGTCTTTTGCAGGAGCACACAATAGGCAGCCCACTTCCCAGTCAACCACACCGAACCAAGCCACATGTCCTCCCTCTCTCCCTTTTTCTTTCTTTCTGTCTTTCTCTTTCTCTCTCTCTCTCTCTTCTTCTCCCTCTCTCCCTCCCTCCTTCCCTCTCTTCCTTTTTTTTCCTTTGGCAGAATTTGGATTTGAACTCAGTGCCTCATGCTTTCTAGGCAGGCACTGTAGCACTTGAGCCACACTCCCAACACTTTTTTTGTGTTGAGTATTTTTGAGATAGGGTCTCTCAAATTATTTGTCCAGGCTGACCTCAAACAGCAGTTCTTCTGATCTCCACCTTCAGAGTAGCTAGGATTACAGGCATGAGCCACTGGCTCCCAGCTCCATCATTTTTCTCATTATTGCCAGCCTCTGTTTGTGCTCTAAAAGAAAAACTGAGGCTGGGTGCCAGGAGCTCATGCCTGTAATCCTAGCTACTCAGGAGGCAGAGATCAGGAGGATCATGGTTCGAAGCCAGCTTGGGCTAATAGTTTGTGAGACCCTATCTCAAAAAAACCCTTCACCAAAAAAAAAAAAGAAAAGAAGAAAAAAGAGGGCTGGTAGACTGGCTCAAGATGAAGGTCCTGAGTTCAAGTCCTGGTACCACCACCACCACAACAACAAAAGAAAACTGAGGGAGAAAAAGAGTTCTAGCTCCTGAACCTGTGCTCCACTCATGCTAAACTTTCATCTTAGCACCAAAAGGAATGCAATGAAGGTGTTAGAACACAAAGACATTGAGCAGCTGGCTGTCATGTAGGAGGAAGGAGAAGAGAAAAATAAGATTTCCTAAGTGATTGAGAAATGATGTTCACATGTGAACTATTATATTTTCCTTTTAGATGTCAGGCTTAGAAAATAAGAGATGGGCCAAGAAGCTACCAGAGGTGCACCTCATTGTCCTGGAAGTTCAAGCATGGTTGGGACCTTCTGGTCTCTTCTACAAGCTGGAGGTATCTGTCTCCTTTCTTCATAGTACTTTTATGTCCATTTTAGCATTTTGTCCTTGTATTCTGCCTTATGACCTAGATTGTCTGGACTAGAGGGACTTGGGTAGGCAGCTCAGGGAGAGAGAGAGATTGATATGGCTAGCTCATGCGCTATTGGGACACAGGCATTCAGGAAAATGGTACCTCTATAGAGGCAAGGCAGGGCAGGGAGTTAGAGGCCAAGAGAAATCTGACTTTTCTTTGCCAGGGAGAGCCACAGGCAAGAGTAGGATTTCCAGGATCTGAAACAGGAAAAGAGAGATACCTATGCAGCTGATATAAGAAGTCAGTAATTCAGAGACACATTTTGGGGAAGGGGCAAGGAGAAAATATCTTTTTTTTGTGGAAGAAAACCAGAAGGAATGATTTAGCAACATGACTGAGAAGATTCTGGAAATGACACAAGAGGTCATGGCTTAGGCTCTCCTAAGTGGAGGACAGAGCTGCTTAGTTCAGCACCCAATGTCTTGCAAAGGTTTCCTAGAAAGGAACACCAGCTTTGCCACTGAGGGCCCTTGAACAATTCTGGCACCTGCATTGCTTAATTTTTTCAATCTGTGTGGTCTGTATTGCTGTAGCCATAACATAAAATCCCATAGACTGGGAAGGGTGGGGTTGTTTGGCATGATGACAGGGAAGGGGGACAATGGAGAGACTGTATCCTGCTTTGTAGTCAGTCTGAGGGAGGTGGTTCCAGAAAGGAGGAGGTGGGGTGGCTCAGAACAAGGGGGAAAGGCAGTACCAAACATTAATCTCTGCTATCCCTCAACCACTGTGGACATATGCCTACATGGTGGAGTTCCTTTTGGATCCCCTCAGTGCCACCATGTATGTGGACATTAGATGCAGCAGGGAAAGCCCTCCCACCCCCAATGCTCGTAAGCCAGCCTTGGCTGAAATCTGAGGGGACTCGTGGAGGACAAGCTCTCTGGAAGCACTCTGGTGCGTGCCAAGCTGTCCTGAACTGACAGAAGGTCTCTTGATAAAGTCCCATCATGTTGTTGGCTCTTGGAGGAGGTTGCCAGGCTATGCGTGTATCACATATCCAGCTGCAGCCTTAAATCTCAACAGGCTCCCACAATCACATAGGGACCCATGTACTCAAGTATTTGATTTCCTTGTCCTGGGTGTCTATTCAACCCTCTACACCCTCCTCACCTGCTCTCCAACTCCCACACATGGGATAGACCTAGACTTGGTTTCTGCAGCTACTCTTGCTTCTGCAGAGTCCCAGTTTGCTGTGTCAAGTGAAGCTGTGTTGTTAGTTATCAGACAATACAGCAAGAGAACTGTCAGTTCCAACAGGTTGCTTATTTAATTCTGCTCAAGAATTTTTTGAGCACCTGCTATGTGCAAGTCAGAATTATATACCTGTTTTGACAGTTGCTTCCATCTTTGCCCCACTGTTCAAATGCTATTCATCTGTGCAGAGTGGTAACATCAGAAATATGTCTTCTTTACCGCTCATATTCTTCATCTCTCTTGCTTATCCAAAAAAAGAAACAACAAATCTGTTTATGGTGTTTGGTGAATAGCTTACACAAAGTAGGCACCCCCAAATAGTCAAATGTATGAATGAATTTGGACTTAAGGATATAGGTTTTATTGATGATTCAAGGAACCCTCAGAGGGTCAGCATATTTAAAAAAATTTTTTTTGATTGCTTAATCAAATAAAAGGGGTGGGTTTATTTTTGACTACTCCTGGTGACCAGCTCTGGGCAGCTGGGTGACCCCTGTAGACAGCTTCTCTCTGTTGCAATCAGGTGAATTTAGAGGAGTCTGGGCTGTTGTGTTTTCCCAGGCCTATCTTTATTGATGGTTATTAAAGACACACTACCACATGGCAATATGCAAGTACAAAGCAATTCCCAGGGTAAGGTACGTGGGAAGAAGGGAGATACTGAGCTCCCAAACAATTCTACTGTAATCGCAGCCTGCCATATCTATGTATAGTTAATAAGTAAGATTTAAGCAGTCAGGTTCCACCACTGGGCAGCAGATGGAAAGGGTAAAAAGGCCAATGGGTAGACCTCAGCACTTTTGGGAAACTGGAAAAGAAAATAAGGAGGACACATGGGCAGGTAAGTCTGGTGGGCTGTCAACCAGGCAGTGCACAAGCCCAGCAAATGGTCAGGACGTCAGGAGGTAGGGCTCTACTTCTTCTCATGCCTGCACAGTTCTCTTTTCATGCCAGCTTCTCAGGGAAGAGGCTGAGTAGCCAAAAAGTAAATAGTAATCATGCTTAGACACACAGGGTTAAATAAGTGTAGGTGGAACACACAAAATACTTGTTTTTACAGAGCACCCCAACACACCTGTTGTTTTATGATCTGAGTGATATTGATAAAGGGGGCTATAAAGTTGAGGTGCAATGTCCTCTAATATTTAAATAGAGCCTTCCTCTGTGAGCTTCAATGGTTTACAGCTGAGATTTGACAGACATGGTGATTATTTCTAGTAGGAATGTTGAGCTTGTATCTTTAGGAAAAATGGGATAGCAGAATGACTAAAAAGCAGACTCTGGGATAAGACTTTGTGTCAAAGCTTCTTTGCTTTCTAGCTATGTGACTGACATACAGCTACATGTTTTACTTACATGTTTAATAGGAAGAAATTCACACTACTTACAGGATTGTGTTGAGGACTAATCTACTTATTGTGCTTAGAACAGTGCCTGGTAAATTATAAATACAATTTAAATCCTTAGATATTTTAATTTTTCCTATATGTGTATCTCTGATATATAAGTCATCTAAAAAAATCCACAAGCAGTTAATAGTCTCTAAGAAATATTGGACAGCACTGTGATAAGTTGACCTGTGAGTATATTTGGCAAACTAAAAACTTCAGGCAGCCTTTCATGAATCAAAGGCTCTGGCTGGAAGAAACTTTAAAAAATTATCTGACTCTACCTCCTTTTCTAGGGAGGAGGTCTCTGCTACCTGTGCATTGAGGTTAGGCCTTGTTTGCTGGCAGATAATGGGGCTCAGAACTTGGTGTGGCCCTTCCTTTTAATTGAAATAAGCCTCAGGTTCGTAGAAAGGAGAGATCTGAATGTTGCCAAGGGCATCAGGCACTGATATGGCTTGGCCTGCAGGATGGGGCAGCTCTCCCTCTCCTCCACCCCTGCGCAAGGAGCCTGGAAGGCATAGAAGGGCCGCAGAGGGACACTCAAATCAAAAGACTAACATGGGCAGATCCTCTCTGGATCCCAGTCTCACTTAGACAGGATTAATGGGAAACATGAAATTCCAAGACCCTTCCTGCTTCCCTTCTGTGTAGGTGACCATAGAATTTATGGCTTCAACTGGAACAGACATTTTGAGGGTGAAAGGCAGTGCTATTAATAATTATGTCGGAGAACTGGCATATCCTGGCACATGTCCATCCTAGTCCTGTGGACCTGTGATTGCATATCCTTGATTGCTCATCACTTCATTCAACCATCTCCATGCTGCCAGAGGGAAAGTGAGAGGAAATATTGTGGAAAAGTCGCCTGTGGAAGGCGATGTCATTGATCTACCATTCACTGAGGATGGAGCCCTAGTTTCTACTCTAAAGGACCTCATTCAGTGCATATGGGACAGAGAGAAGGAGAGAAAGGCTCCATGGTGGTTGTGCTCATGGTGTATTTGACAGGGCTTGGTTTCTTCTTCAACAGAGCAGGTGTGCTCTGGATTCCCCCATTCCTCAGTTTGCACCCAGGTGTCACTACAGCATCATCGTTAACTACCATGGACACTTGTATCTACCATTTTTCTTTGGAGTGTGAATATGGAAAAGGCGGATGCTACAATTTGAAATCCAATCCAAGCCATTGTTCAATGACTGTGGGAGACTCCAAAGGAAGGAGCACTTTCCCACCTGAAATGTTTGCCCTGTTACCCTTGAATTTGACAAGTCTTTAATGGTTAATATATATATATATATATATATATATATATATACACTTCTTTTCTAAAAAGGTCAAAGTCAAGGTTTATGCTTTGTTAATTTCATAAAAAGAAAAACAGACAAGAAAGAAAAGAAAAATGGCTCCCTTTCCCAAGTGTTCATCTATGTGCCTATTTAATGATTAATAATACCTTGTGGGTTATTGTTTGATGTGGCGTCTACTGGTTTGAACAGGAGAATACTGATTCACTCTTCAGGCATTTAGGAATCACAAGTGTTTACCCTGAGACAATAAATGAAAGGGGGAGATAAAAATAACACCCACATATGCCAGAGTTCTTTGAGTAAAACCTGGCGATAACATGGGATCTCAGTCTTTGATACCCTGTGTGGGGCCTGCTGCTTTCTCTCTCAGAACAAGATTGCATAAGAATGACCAAGGGGCTGGGGAGGGTTGGGGTATTACAGATTTTTCCTTTGACTTGTTGATAGATTTGAGGCAACTTTTCACCCGTTTTCATGTCATGTGCATTCATACCCTCCTCCCCCAACTGTCTCTGTAGGTGACTCCTTGCTAGTTGTTTGCAAGGGAGTCCCTTTGGGGTCCCTTCCTTAGAGTTTCACTCATTGCTGTCTTTTACTTTCCCTTATGCAGGGGAAGGCTCTAGCAGGAATCCACATGGGAAGAAGGAAGCCTGCCTGAGAGTGGGGCTGTGACCACAATGGAGGGGGGAGTTCCAAAGATGGCACCAGACTTCTACCTCAGCAACAAACGAGTAGACCCTCTTCCACAATAATGATTCCTAGGGTAATTTTCTTTTTTAATAGTGACTTTTAATACTGACTCCTCTGCTAATTTTCCCTCCTCTCTACCAAAAGGCCCAGAGTTCAGTACAAGAAGCGCTGTACTCCCCAGGACTAAGGCAGCTCCCTCGGTGCAGAGAGGCCACTGCAGCATGGTTCACCTGCCATTTCTGTTGTTGTCTTTGGTTCAGACCAGGTAGGGGTTAGTTTGTAGACTCCACACTCTAGTGGAATTGGGGTATTTGGTGCCACCCTCCTTGGCTCTGGTCTGTGCCCTCCCATGGAGTTTTGTTGTCAGTGAGATTCCCCAGGCTGCCAGTAGTCTTCTTTCCCTCCAAGTCAGCCAGCCCAAGAAAGGAAGGCAGCCAAAAGCTCCATCAGGAAAGGCCGCAGGTGGGAGAGAAGGGGTGGAGTGTGGCCCCTGCAAGAGATTTCAGGGGGAACTTTGTCATCTTTTCCCACTCCTCCTGTGCACCTGTCAGCCTTCAGAGGCTCACCTGAAAGGCAGTACTTCCCATCTACCTTTCCCGTGGGAATTCAGCGCAGCCACCATAACCCCTGAACTCTGCTGGACCACTGCCAGCAACTCTCAAGTCTTTCCCCTGCTGATTACAGTGACATGATGTCATTTTTATTGAGGCAGATTAGATTTTTTAAAAGTTTTTGAAAGGGTGGTTCACATGATTTCTAGTACTTTTCCTATTGCTTGAAGACCAGAGCTGCCAATTTCAATTTGCTCCAGCTTTTATCACCAGAAGAAGCTTAAAAGAAAAAAAGAGAGAGGGAGAAAGGGTGGATGAAAACACTTCCCTTCCCTGGCAGGCAGTGTGAGGGTGGTAGAGGACACCCGCATGGCATCGCCACTCCCTTTGTGTTGCTGCTGTGATGCAAAAACACCAGGAAGCTGGGGCCCTGATGTCTGGCCTGGCTGCCCAACAGCCCATGAGATCCACTAGACCCAAGAGGGAGGGCACAACCTTGAGCCAGGCACAGCAGTCCCTAGAGTGTTCAGAAAATTATTTTTCCCATGATCTACTGATCATGGGAAAAATATGCGGAGAAAAGTTTCCTTCCTTTCGATTCTATCTTACTAATTTCCCTCCATAGAGGAAAGATTTCCCCTTCATTCATTCATCCATCCATTCATTCTTTTATCTATTCAGCGTATTTATTGAACACCTGCTATGTGCTTGGCTCCACAAGATTTGAAAAAGCAAATTTGGTGCCATTTGTCATTTTTAAAGAAAATGGAAGAATGCCTATTTGTGTGGGTCATAGTTTTTTCACATGCAGTTTAGCCCTCAAAATGGGTTGTGTGATGAAAAAAATCACAACAAAAAAACCATCAGAGCTAATTACAATGTTTTGTTATAAAATCAGAGAATGAGAGCTGAGGACTAAGGGACATGCAGAGAAGATAAATGCCTCCCACTCTCTGGGAGCCTTGTAGTAGACAATATTTACACACTGTGACTATTTAGCAGCCACCTTCAGGCCCATAATAGTCAGATACTCATAACAGCCTGAGAAGCAGGAAGGGGCAGAATGTATCATCACCCTGCACCTGGCATGTCATAGGCACTCAGTGAGGGTTTGTTGAATGAATGTTGAGTAAGCCTGCAATTTACAGCTATGAGACAGGGTCAAGAATAATCAAGGTATCAGCCCTAAGTGTTCCAGTCAGTGACAGCCTGACCTTGAACTCAGATGTCCTGACTACACACATCGAGGCCCATAATGACTCCTAGAAGCACCATCCTCTGGAGACTTCTTCTACCTTCCCTTTGACTGCAGGAAAGGGACTCCAGAGACCATTTCCTTAAAGTCTTCAGTGCGTCTTTGCAGAGTGGGTGGAGGTCAGAATGACCTCAGATGTGCCAGGGAGACCCCTGCCTCCTTGGAAAGTACCCTCAGGGTTGAGTCGGTTGGACTAAAGGCACTGAATATTATCGGTCTTTGGGGATGAATTTCTAAACTGCCCCCAATCCAGTTGGAAATAACCTCGGGAAATCTGCGCACCTTCCACCCCCCAATGGCTCGGTCGATTATGTGAATCAGAGAAAGGTGGATTCAGAGCAAACTGGTGAAGAAACTCCTCTCCAGTTGTGTCTCCTGGCCCTTTTTTTTTTTTCCCCTCCAGAGAGGGATGAAATTGTGGGACTGAGGTAAATCCCAGGTAATTTAGAAGGCTTCATCAGAGTTATGGAGCAAGGAAGCTGAAGAATAGAGCTGGGATTTGGAAGCCTATTAGCCCTATGGTATCACTAAGCTGGAAAAAAAAACCCCCAAAAGTCTTTGATTCCATTCCTGGCCTCCCAAGGGTGAGAATTACAGAGCACGTCCAGGATATGAAGTTGGATCTGAACGTCGCTCGCTCTTCCTCCCTCCACAACGGAAATGCAATGTGGGGACTGAACAGAGGCTGCAGGAAAGGAGAGCTGGTCTGGTTGAAAAAAGGAGCCCAGAGAGCATGGAGTCCATCTACTTATCCTCTTTACCCTAACAGCAGGAGATAGTACAGAAAACTTTGCACTAGAAATCAGAGAGGACCCAGGTTCTAGCCCTGCCTCTGCTGTACAGTCATTATGTATAACCCTGACAGGGTAGTCACTGCTGCCTCCCTTGGCCTCAGTTTCACCATTGGCAGTCTAATAGTGTTTGAACCAGGCCTGGAGGAGTTACCTCCTAGGGGAATGCAGGACCTGCAGGTGGTAGTGAGCAGGTGGGGCTTTTACAAGCCCTTTCATCTTCTATAAAAACCTTTTGGCTTTTGTCTGTTGACACATTGCATATCCTCATAAGAGTTCGTCAAAGAAAGTATCCCATTGTGTCTCACTGCTAGACAAGAGCTTTACCACTGAGCTATGCCCTCAGCACATGTCCCATTGATTTTTATGTTTAAGTTGGAAAATCCCTAACTAAGATGCTCTCGAAAAACCTCTCCAGCTCAGGAGTCTTATGATTCTACCCTTATGTCTTCCTGGCTTTAGGACCTGTCTCTTCTACTATGTAGAAAATTGTTCTTTAATCATTATTGTGCCTGTTTTCTCTTCCTAGTGGTTCCTTGCATCACACTTCCACTGAGGAGTATGTGGCATGCAGTTCAGTGATTGCCTGGGACAGGGTACCTGGTGCTCAGACTGCTCACATGCCACCTGGACCTGGATGAACAAAGAATTATAAACGAAAGTGTCTTCTGGTATTTTCTTTCTCCTCCTGCTCCTCCTTTTTTAGTAGTACTGGGGATTAAACTCAGGGCCTCACACTCTACCACTTGAGCCATGCTTCAGTGCGTCTTTAATTGTGTCTTCCGTTTTTGCCCAGGGGACTCGGAATGCAATCCTCTTACCTTTGCCTCTTGAGTAGTTGGGACTCCCTGCATGTGCCACCACACTCAGCCCTTTCTAATATTTTTCATCAGTGACAGGGACCTTGTCTTAGCTATCTTACCCATAGTTAGCATACCTACGATGCTTCCTAGTTGCTTAGTAAATACTTGCTGAAACAACTGGTGAATGAATGCTTGTTCTCCTCTTGGGGGTTATCATTGGCTCTGTTATGTGAAGGACCTTCCTAGGTTGACAGCAGCTAATGGAGGTACTGGGTTCAGTGTTTTTCTTTTATCTGATTACACCTGTTGGAAGCTGTCACATGTTATGGGTTAAATAGTGTCCCCAAAGGACACTATTTAGCCTCAGTACCTCAGAATGTGACCCACTTGAAAGTAGGGTTCATTGCAGATATAATTAGTTTATGTGAGGGCATAATGAAATATGGTGGGCCTTTAATCCAATTGATTGGTCATAAAAGTAGAAGAGACACACAGACACCTGAAGGGAGATGGTCATGTGATGACATAGGCAGAAATTGGGATGATGCAGCTGTGGCCAAGGAATGCCGAGGGTTGCTGACCACCACCAGAAAAGAGGGAGCGGCAAGATGCATTCTCCCGGCAGGTTTCAGAGGGAGCATGACCCTGCTGATAGCTGGTTTTAGACTTGCAGCCTCCAGAACCTGAGATAATATGTTTCTGTTACTTTATGGCACCCAGTTTGTGGTACTTTGTTATGGTACCCCTGGGAAATATTACATTCTCCCATCTACAATATTATTCTGACAAAGAAAATCTGCAACTTCTTTTTCTTTTATCCTCTGTGAAATACTCAAAGAGTATTTGGCTAAAACTTACTTTTTGAACCATTAATCACAGTATCTTATCAAAACATGTCATGTGTTTAAAGCTGTATATCTCTGCATGTTGTGTTATTGGGTAATTAAATAAATAAACAACTTCCCCCCAGCCGAAATGGAAAAAATGATCCAGCCACAACCCACCCGTTCCCCGGCCCCCGAGTTTGGTGCTGGAGATAAAACTCAGGGTATCATACCTGCTCTACCATGAGCTGCATCCCAACTTCCCACCCCTAGTCTTCTTAAAAGTAAATTTTGTGAGAATTGGCTACTTCCTGTGACCTGAGGGTCTGAACACATGTACAGTCTGGGGGAGTTACATCTCCCCTCTAGGACCTGGGTGTGGTTGTCTGGGTTAAACAGGATGCAGACTCATCTTCATCTCTGCCACATCCCTCTGAATAATTTTCTTGTGTATTGTTTCACCGACCCATCCTCCTGGGGGCAGGTTTCCAGTGCTGGTCTCCTTGAGTACCCTTGATCAAACCCACAGTTTGGCAGACAGACCCTCCCCATGCATCCCCATGGAGATGCAGGAATTTGTAGGATCCGCCCCATTTCTAGTTATTGAGTAATGAGCTGGGCATCGAATGTCAGGGCTGAGAAAACAGAAGGGCCTACCTGTTGAGCCAAATGATCTCATAGCCCAAGCTGTTCTCAGGGTGTCGGCTTGCTCTGTCTGTCAGTGACTTTCATCACAAGCCCAGCTTACATCATACTGTTCTGAACACCTAGCCTGCTCATTGTCGTTGTGCTTACAACACTGCCACCGACTGTGACTTATGTCTCTGGTTAAGCCTGGAGTAGCCTTGCATGCGTGGGGGGAAGGGCCTTTTTTTTTTTTAGCCTTAAGAATGAAAGCCGTGAATGGGGAAGGAATGAAGGGGCTTATTGTGTTTGAATTCCAAATTCACCATTAACCTCTCTCCCTGGATTTTCAGCTTGAGTCCTCACTACGCAGAAGAGCAGTCCCTCTCCTCCCTCACATCTCACCTGGTCACCAGGGCTTCCCTGTGAGGAAGAGATGGTTCTGGTGCTATATGTTCTTGACTGGAAAATGATCTTCTGAGTCTTACTGGATAAATAGAGGCCCTCCCTTTGGTTGTATTTGTGGAACCCCTTTTCTCTGCTGGGGCTGGATTCCTAGGCAAAGACTCTTTAAGAGGGTCCCACAGAAACAAGAAGAATGGGAACCTATCTTGAATAGTAGGTCATTGCTTCCTCAAGTTAGACTGGAAGAATTACATGGGCGGGGGTGGGGGAACTGGAAGGGAAGAAGTCTGTGTATTCTGTGAGATCTTAAGTCTTCGCTCACTCATTCAGCCTCAAATTCAGCAGACACTTTCTGAATGGCTAAAGTAGGCCATGCGTCTTTGATACACTGGGGAAATGAAGACAGTGTCACCGTTAAGCAACACTAGTGCAATTTGTACTAAGGAGACATTCATCTGTCAGGGGGCTGACAGAGTCACGGGGGAGAAAACTTGACTGCAGTCTGAGGAAGTAGGGCAGAATTTCAATTTGGGACAAGAAGAGAACTTTTCAAAGCTGAGGCCTTAGGCACGTAGGCTAGTGTTTTATCAGTCCAGGCTGCCATCACAACATGCCATAGACTGTTGGCACAGTTCTGCAGGCTAGAGGCCCAAGAGCAAGGTGCTAGTGGGTCAGTGTCTGCTTGGTGAGGTCTCTCTTCCTGCCTTTTGGCTGTGTCTTTGCATGGCCTACCTGGGTGCTTGAGAGCAAAGAGAGATCTCTAGTGTCTTGTAAGGTCACTAAACCCATCATGAGGTCCCCTCCCCATGACCTCATCGAAACCTAATTACTTCCCAGAGGTCCCATCTCCACATACCTTACACTGGGGATTAGGACTTCAGTACGTGACTGAGGGAGACACAATTTGTTTCATCACAGGGAGTTTGTTAAAATGCAGATTCTGGGCTTTGCCCTCACCTACTGAGTCAGAGTTTCTGGAACTTACCAGGAATCTGCCTTTTGATTCTTAGGTATGCTGAAGTTGGAGCAGGTTCTCCTTAGGATGCCTTATACTGCTATATCAAAAAGGATGTTTCCAGTGAGAACAGCAGCCAGTGAATGCATACACGATCCAGGAAGTCTGTTCTGGAGAAAGACTTAGAGATCCATGCATTGGTGAAATCATTTATAACGAGACCTTGACTGATGTAGAGCTGAGTAAAGGATAGGCTGTGATGTATTTTTGCAAAATGCAAGAATAGATGTCTAGTTCCTGTAACTTGAGTATGCCTGAACATTCTAGGGAATCTCTCTCTCTCTCTCTCTCTCTCTCTCTCTCTCTCTGCCTCGCTCTGTCTTTTCCAAGGAAATCCTTGTATAAGGAGACTTAAAGACATACCTGCAATTCCCAAGAGGTGGAGTGGTGGTGGATTTCTGTTTCCCGTTGCTCAGTCCCCTGCTTGGGGAACCAGTTATTACTAGTCTCAGATAATCGATCTTGAGCTTTGGAGAGGAAACCCCAGCAGTTCTCTGCTCAATTAAAAAGCAAGAGAAAGGGCAGTGGAGAGGTAGGGCTGTAGGACACTACATGGAATAGACTTTTGCTCAGTAAGTAATTATAGTCAGAAGAGATGAAAATAGGTTTCCACCCACTCATTGCTTCAACAGAAGTAGCATGCTGTGAGTTTCTGGGGATTATTTGGGTGAATAAGACAGACACAGCCCCTCCTAACCCTCATGGCATTTATAATGTATATGGGAAGAAACACAAATAACCAATGGATTGCAGGAAAGGGTGGTAGGAATTATGCTAATTCACCTGCGATCCCTTCATGAGAGACTGCAGCTAACCCAGGCTCCATGACTCAGTAATACATTTGTCATGTGTGTATTTGTTTCTTCATTTGCTAACATGTACAGAACCCCTATTATGTGATATGTTGAGTGAACGTGTCCCAGACACTGTGCTAATAACCTTAGAGGCAGATTTAAAAATGAACACTATGCAAAACACTGTCCCAGGGAGCCCAGCGTCAGGTGAGGAAGCTAGACTAATAAGCAAATCGCATCAAGGCTGGGATCATGACTCAAATGTTACCGTGGTGATCTGTCCAAGGCCAAAGGGGAATTTGGAGGCAGGGAGAGAGTACAGGAGGGCTTATCTCTGCCACATAAAGGAGTAAGGCCACAGAAATCCTGTAGGAGCCACTGAGGAGTGGGTTGCATGCTGGACCTTAAAGCACATGTGGGGGGTTTGTATTCTGTCATTACTTCCTACTCCTGCAATTAAGTGATGTCCATCTCATCCATTCAGCTGCGCAGTAGCTATGTATTGACTACTTGTAGTATTCTTAGTGGACCAGCTAGAAAAATCATATCAACCAGTCAACCCAATAATTGGTTGGTCCCCAGTCAGGTGACAAACTACAGTCAAGCATGGGTGGGGGGATAAAGGAAAATGGAGAATCCATCTCTTTCCTTCAGGGAGCCACAGCTAACCTGAGATGGCTGAAAGTGTCTAGTTGCTTTTAAAGCTCTTTTTAAGAAAGGGTGGGCCTGTCAGTTAGTACAGAGAGTCTCCCTCAGGGAGAAGTGAGAGGCCCTCACCTGGGACATTTTTGTAATAGGATGCCAGCTCTGTTGTCCTCCAGGCTGAAGTATGAGGCTTTATGGGTGGCTAATATATACATATATAAAAATAATAAAGTTCATTTGACTTTATCCTTATAAAATAATAGGTGCTCTTTGAAAAATACAGAGAAGGTAGAAGAAGATAACTACTCATTAGTTGATATTTTTCTTGCTTTTCTTCATGATTTGGTTACGATCATACGATGTGAAACACATTCACTGTATACAATTTTGTAATCTCTCGTCATTTAATATTGCACCAATATGAACTCCTCATAAACTGCATTTCAAATGAGTGCGTCATTTTTCACCATTTATGCACCATGACTTTCTAAACATATTTAAGCACATTTTTCTTTTTTTTTAGAAATTTGCTTTTCTTAAGATAAATTTGCAGAAGTAG